CTCTAAGTCAAATCCCACTTAGAATATATATAATGTGACTCCACTTAGCAGGGAAATACTATATATATATATATATATATATATATATATATATATATATATATATATATATATAGTATTATACTATATATATTATAATATACCTAAAGAAGAAATCAGTGTAAAAATTGAAAACGCTAAACTGCTGTATTTTAGTCTAACAGTTTAATTAAAATATTTTGCATGTGGCTAAATCAGTTTTTCGGTGTATTTTCACAACAATTAAACAATTACTTATGTTAATGAAAGCTTCATTTATTATAATATTAGTATAGTGTTTTGTAGATAGGTGCATCTAAAAATCCTTTTAAAATAAATATTCAAATTAAAGGCATCCTACATAAAGATTATAGTCATTTAATTGGTAAATTTTGTATAAATGGGAAATAAAGGTTCATTTTATTTTCAGTTTTATGTATCAATTATAATAAGAGAAGGTAAGCGCTATTCTTTCTTGTATCGTGTACGAAACTTTAATCACATATTTTATGAAATTATTATTATTTTTAATAATCTTAAGTCATTTAATAACTTGGTTTTAATCAACTTCATGTAGAATGTCTTTAATTTAAATGTTTATTATTGAAATATATTGTAGTCTATCCTGAAGGATAAGAGCGCGGATGTATGAAACGACAGTGAGTTTGCTAATTTCACAATTAAAGTACTAAAAAATGCCAGTTATTGTTTGATTATCTTCAAAGTACATTGAAAATCTGTTTTTCCATAAACAATAGTTAGGGAGAATTTTAATTTGGCACCATGGTTTGAACCCAACTACATTTAAGAAAACCCAAGCTCTGCAATCAAATTTGATGCGTTCGACCACACTTCTGAAAAGTAACAATATTGACTTGGACCTAGCATGATAACTTTGATGCCAAATCAGATGCATAATTCACGAACTAGGGCTCATAAACAAGGACATGTCAGTGAATTTCAGGTTGAAAATTTCTTGGCCTCTCTTGTGTATATCAATATATATATCGCTCTAAGCTGCTATAAATTGTCATTTTTTCCTAGGATGCTGCTCTCAATGCTGCTTCCCCTATATTACGATTAACACGTGCGGGTGAAACTGCATGGGGACCTCTCCCAGGGGAGGACTGGACGATTTTCAGTCCAAATCATTCCACATATGAGCCATTAGCATGGGCCACACGCAACCCTGAAGATTTCCCTGGTAGTGAGGAAGCTGCTAAATCACCTCTTTCAACTGTAATACAGGTAAGGCAACAGAATGTGAATTGATGTAACATGTAGTTTCCAATTAGTGCTCTATTATGGAGGATCAGGTTATCAGACCCTATTGATTATTTTGATATCTTACTCTAAGAAAGTCAATTACGAGCAAGCATTCACACAGGAAATCACTTTGCTTTATACAAGTATCAATAACATGAGTTCTGAACTAATTTTTCATGGAGTAAACTAAGCATTAATCCAGACATGGTCAATCTCAAAATTTGGGACCTATTACACATCTCTTAACCATACATGGTGTACTAAAATCGTAGTTCTCTCGTGGATCGGTCGCTTGCCTTTCACCACAGGTCTAAGTTCGATTGCCGTGGAACCACATGTAAAATTTGTTACAACAAAACATGTTTGTCTGCGTCACAGGGTCCAGTCCCTGTGAAGCGTCCTAAACCTTACCCCTATCCTTATTCCTTCCCAATTCAGGCCGACAGGTAGATGATGCAGAGCGCATGTGAGATGAGTGCAAAGACTCTACCTATCGGCGAATCCGTGACTTGACTGCAACTTGCAACTAATGTGACTTGACTACCCAGTGGCCCCTAGAGGGTGCTGGGTGATTAGTAACCTTGGATTACTCCACCCACGGTGCACTCAACCCTCTTTGAAGAGCTAGCTATGTGTTCCATTTATGTAGATGCAACAAATTAAATAAATTTGTACAGGTCTATGTAATTCAATTTTCTCAAAAATATTGTATTTTGTAATAGGATTGATGGGCTTGTTTTTTATCATAAAATAGATTTTTTAGTTACGAGTTTTTAATTTTAAAAATAATACAATATTTCATTGAGAATAATGTATGGAAAAAGGAATCATAAATAATAGTATGTGCTTAAATATGATTAGTTAGAAAAAAGTGCTTCTCCAATACAAATTTGTTTTAATTTTACTTCCAACAATGTATTTTTTAACAATTATAATATTTATGGAATAAGTATTGATGTTCTTTGCCAACTTGCTTGAAATGTAAAAAACACACACCGTAGAGTACATTTTATCTTTGTTAAAGCAGTTATATACAGCAGTTAAATTGAGAATGTCAAAACGTGTTTGACATCAGTATAAAACAGATTTTCTCAAACTTTTTTGATACAAAAAACCCTCCTGTAAAAATAATTAACCTGTTGACCCTTCATGGTAATTAACTTTATTTTCTTAAACAAATAAAGTTGCACACATTGTATTTCCAATGAAATGATGCGAAGGCCTGAAATTGATGCCACGTGCAAAAATTGATTATTTGCACATGCATCTTTTTGTGATGTACACAAGATGAAACATTTTCATCTTATTGAAAAGTGAGTTATCTCTTGGAATCATAGATATTTTGAACTAAATACAAATGATGATAATAATTTAATTAGCTGTGAGACAGGTTAGATGTTCATGATTCCTAATTTTTTATTGACCAATCATTGACCTGTAAGACAATTTCAATCTGTCCCAGATTGTTGACACTGATTCCTTTGGAAATAGCTAGTTTAATGGTAGTAACAATTTATTAAATTCACGATTTCAAATCTTCTATTTTATTTGTGTTTTGGAAAATCCAACCCTGAAGTCAATTTTACCAACATCACTGAGATGAATATAGAATCCTGTGTATCATGAATGTATTGAGCAAGTTTTGTTCCTTTGATTGTAAACTGATGAAGTAGGAATCCTGAAGTTCAGAACTCTCTTAGCCCTGTCTCTTAGTGCTTCACATTGCTTATGATTTTAGCTTATTAACAAAGAATTTTGCTGAAAGTTTCATAAAGAGTTTCAATGGAGAAAAAAAATAGAAATTTGCTCAATTAACATAATAATATAATTGCCATCATCAAAGTAGTGAAATGTAGTTTTGACAATATTTTTTACACTCACACTAGTGGTGAATGACCAAAATAAAATAAAGTGGTGTGAGAAAGCTGAGAGTACTGATCATAGAACCTTTTTATCAACTCCGATATGATTTTTTAAATTTCTTTTATGAAGTGAAGATATTGTCTAAAGAATCTGTGAACGTGTCTACACTTAACTGAAATTCGTTTTCTTTTGCAGGACCACGGAATGTTTGATGGAATTCAGAGAGTGTTGTTTGGCAGTGGATTACGTTTCTGGTTGCATAAGTTGTTGTTCCTTGATTCATTGTCCTATCTGAGCCATGGACAGCTAAGTGTAAGCCTGCAGCGTTATTTGCTTGTGGATGTGGACGACATCTTTGTTGGAGAGCGGGGCACACGACTGAGAAAGGATGATGTAGTAGTGAGTAATAATGGATTTCTTTGTTCATCATATTAATTTTGATTGCTTAAAAGAATGGAAAATAAACAGGGAAACCTGTCTGAAATGAAACTTCAAGAACCAGAAGATTTTCAACAAAAACATGAAACAATTTTCAGAGGTTTCTATTTTCACATCATGTTGAGTAAAAAACGCAACAATGAAAGTATATGTTTATCAATGAAGTACTTCAATTTTTTTATTGTAAGACTGGACCTGGTATTTCCAAAATTTGAAACAGATTATAGAAATGAATACATTAACTGAACAATTTTATTCCAAAGTGTATGTAATAGTGTAGCCGATGTTAAAATAAAATAAAACAAAGCATGTGTATAGAAGAGAAAATGTCCATAATGGAAGGTATTAAAACTAGTGTGCATTTATGAATGTTGTAAGTCAATTATGTATTAAATATATTCTCTCCAAATAATGCCTTGTATAAAAGGAAAAAAAGAAATTTTCTTCTATAAACTTCAAATGTAAAGCCAAAGTAAAATATACTGTTTCAGTCTGGGTACCAAGTTAAAATATACTGTTTTTAAATTTATACATTTTCATTATTGGGCAGCTTTTCCATTTTTCGATATTAGTTAATACAGAAAATCAGATGGTGGTGAAATTAATTTTCAGTTTGTTGACTTTCTCTTTCTTCATGGTCCATTTAAAGCAGGCTTAGTTATAATTGATTTTCTAATTTTAATTGAGTAAATTTTTACAGTTGTTTAAATAAAGTATTTTTCATCAGGCTCTTCTGGCTACACAAAAGAGAATTCAACAAATGGTGCCAGGATTTAAATTTAATTTGGGGTTCTCTGGAAAGTACTTTCATCATGGCACTTCTGAAGAAAATCAGGGTGACGATATGCTCCTAGGTAAGCAAGATTCAAGATTATGTTCTTTTTTTAACTGACCTTGTCTTATAGTTAACTTACCTTTTATTTTTATTGTGAAATACTTCATAGAATTTATTAACTGATTCTTACTTCATTGTTGGATTATATTGTTCAGAAAGCAGTGCAAAAAGAAACTTAGCTGTAATTCAATCAATGAAGTCTTAGTAATTCAAGCTTATAATGTAATGAGTTATGAAGTTCTTTTGTATATCAGGGAATATTAGCATCTACTTCCATAGACATTAATATTCAAAATAATTATATTATCATCTAGGGTTTACAGTGAAAATATTAAATTAATAAGATTTAAATGTTACTCTATTTAGTCTAAATAATAATTTTATTTGTAATGAATAAAATAGTATAATGATTCTGATTTAAACCCATTTTAATACTTTCAGAGCATGCAAGTAGTTTTATGTGGTTCAGTCATATGTGGAATCATCTGCAACCTCATTTGTATGATAATTTGACCCAACTTGAGCAGGATATGGCTCTAAACAAAGAGTTTGCCAAGGTAAAGAACTCTTCTTTTAAGTATTCTATAATGTATGCTCTACATTTCTTAATTAATTGAAATGATGGTCTTTTGTTGTATGTGGGTGTGCTTTGTCTCATTGGTGTGCTTTCACTTGCACCATGTGTACACAGTAGAGTATCAATTGATTTTTAAACATATTTTATTTCTTCTCAAATCTCTGAGATGCAACATATCTGTAGATATCATAACAAAATATTTTTATCTGAGAGACAGACATTAATGTTTCTTGGCAGTGAAAATCAGGATACTCAATTTACGTCAGTGCACTTCCAACGGTCAAGCTCTAACCTTAGAATTGGTTAATCCTCTGTTGCAAAACATGTCTCTCCAAGGCCCACAGACATTTTCATTTTATTTCTTAAAACCTATCATGTTGAGAGTGGAGTGGTGTTTATTTTTTACTTTTCTTCTTCCTCCACATCAGTTGACATATTACAGTAGTAAGAGCATTGACTAAGGAGAAATTAGGAGGTATATATCATATCTCTATGGTAAGAGTGTTAAATATTATACAAACTGAATTCTTAACATTAATATGTGCATGCAATTGTATTGTGAGCCCAACTTATTTTCTGCTACATCAACAACACTTGCGGATTGTTTCTTCTGCGTACCAATATGGTCACAGGATATTCTCTCCTAGTTGTTGCTATCAATGACTGCTGACTCATTTCTTAGTTAGAAATAGTTCAACTATGGTTTTATGTGTAGGTGGAGAATCGAAATTTCTATGCTGTCATGTATCAATGTTCTATGTATCAACTCATGCTGTTAACTCAAGATTCACTTCATAATTTTGTAATTTCTATGAAGAAGCAAAGTTGTTTAGAATATTAACAGGCAGAATTAACAAAAAGCTAAATATAAAAGTTAGTGACCTTCATTTTACTGATGTCACAGAATGGATAGGAGAGCCAGATGATGGTGACATGAATATGTGATGCATCAGAAAAGAGTGAGCAGTACCTACTGACTTGTGAATTACCTAATGAATTGAACACCACCTCAAAAATCTGTGGATGTTTTACAAAATAGGAATTGTGAGTCCTGTCGTGATGGCAATTTCCATGGTACTGTTATAGTGGATTCTGAAATATACACTTTGTACACTCATCGTTATCACAATCCAGTGTGCTTTATTCCATATGTTCTCCTTACAATCACTCCATTGCCTCCAGCCTACTCACAAGTCCCTCTACTCTACAGTGTGTACTGACATAACAACTTCTCTTTTTTCTTTTTACAAAATAAAATTAATAATCATACTGATAACATTATAAATTCATGTATACTATTAAAACGAAAAAATGAATACAATCTCATGATCAAATTAGCAGAGAAAAAAAAAAATACTATTTGTAAATAACAAAACCATCAAATCTTGAAGGCATCTTCACATTTCTTCTAGGTCTTGCATCCAGTGTTGATTGATGAATCGAATTAATTAGTATGGTGTTTGCAATGTTGCTTTAAAATTTTGCCATTGTCAGTGTTTTTCACAAATACTATCATATTTGATGGTGGTGAAGTATCTTTGGAGGTGACATCTTTCACTTGAGTTTGCTTTGTTTGCCCTGGGAATAGTTTCAAGGCAGCTCAACACATTCAGCATTTACTGAGCAGTGAGCTATTGCTCACTGAATCCTAAACAGCTGATGTGTTCGGTGAATGTTGGCTCCTTTTGATGTGTTCTAAAGACCGACTCACAGAGAGTAGGGTGAATATCGAATGATCGCAAGCAACCTGTCCACACACTACTTGGAATTCGGCAAGCGGTTGCTCAAGATTTGCCAAATGCTGTATGTGTGGAGCTGCCTTCACGTTTATGGGGTCGCTTCTGTATTTCTTCACTTCACTTCCACAATGTAATCTCTATGTTTAAGTCTATCCTGAATTACCCTACGTGTTCATATGAAGTCTTTATGGGAGTGCACTTGTACTGTTAGTGTGACCAATTTCCAACTCAGGTGATTTTTTTTATTTTATTGACTTAATAACACATGCTATTCTTCTTGGCCAATTAAATTTTCATCTGCACATCTTCCACCACCTCAGGTTTGAGTTGTTTTAGTTATGGGTAAACATGTTCTGGTTATTCTCACAAAAGACTCTGCACAGGGCTAGATCCTATTTTATTTGGCATATTTCTCCAATGTATGCAAAATGTACCAAGGTCTTCTCCTCTCCCTCAGCTTTTTTAATCTTAACTGTCGCTTCTGCTTTACCATTCCTTTCTGGTGATATGGAGCTTAATTAATGCATCTGTGGATAGATCCTGCAGCTCATTAAGCTCAAAAAAATCTGAATAGTAATCCACAGAAACCAAAAATCTTCTTTTCCAACACTTTTGTTCAGCAAAGAAATCATCTATCAATAGACAGATCTTCTGAGACCTTATGGGATTGCAACCAAACATGTTGTTTGAACTGCATAAACTTTTTACAAACCTTACTACCTTGTATGAACCGAGTAGATATTTCTGGCCAAAAAATGGTATCCCTTGCCATTTTATAAGTTGCTACTATTTCAGACTGAACGATAAGTAATTTCCCGAATAATATCCTGTAATAATATCCTGTAATAATATCCTGTCAATCCTTTTGTGTCATCTGTTCATCCTGGTACTTATAATACAGTTTACATGAATCTTCTTCTACTTCTCAATAATATCTTGACCAACCATTTTGGATATAATCTACTAATTTCTGCAGTGTTAAATCATTTTTCAGACATGATGTAATTTCCTCAATTCCTCCTTATCTTCTATAATGTTTGAAAGATTGGTGAATCCTATTTTAGATCAAAAATATTTTTATGTTTCAGCTTTTTTTATTATGTAATCATTTCCAACCAATGCTCTTGATGAAGCATTGGCCACCACATTCTCTTTTCCTTTCCTACATTGTACTTCCAGGGGGTATCTTGGTAATGTCATCAACATTAGCTGTAACCTTTTAGGAGCTATCAATAAGGGTTTCTTTACAATTGTCAATGACTTGTGATCTGTTGTTATTATAAATTGATCAGCTAGTAGTTGATTAAATCTTGTGTATCCAAAAACTATAGCCAAAACCTCTTTCTCAATCTGAGTGTAATTGTTTTCTATTTTTGTGGGTCATAGGAGCAAATCCAATCACTTTATCCTTCTGATAGATGGTTACCTCCAAACCTGTAGAACTGGCATCACATTCTAAAGTCACTGGTTGGTTATCATCAAAATATTGCTGAGACTATATTTACTACCAGATTCATCATCTCCTCAAAGGCCTGTTCTTCCTCACTCATCCAAGTCCAATCTATATCTTCCCTTGCAAGTCTTCTCAAGATACTTGTTTTCTTGGGCAGATTCTCAATACACTGCCTTCAGTGCATGAAGGAGCTCTGTCTTATTCTTTGGGGAAGGCATTTTTATAATTAAAATAATTTTATATAGGTCAGGATATAAACCCTTACTTCTCAAAATGTGCCTAAAAAATTTCATGGACATTGCCTCATGCCTCATCCAAAGATTCATCACATCCTTAATCTAGAATGTCATCAATCATTATTTCAATGCCTTTCAGACCCTGAGAGATTTGTAGTAGTTTCTGTGCAAATATCTCTGATGCCAAAGATATTCCAAAAGGGAACCTCAGCCATCTGTATCTCCCAAAGGGGATCCAAAAAGTTGTGAGCTTGCTGCTGTCCTCCAGAAGTTTTATCCACCCAAATCCCTTTATTGTATCTAGGGTTGAAAACATTTTAACCTTTCCAATTTCAGGTAGAATTTCATCAAGACTTGTAAACTGAAAGAAAGGGTGCTTTATTGCTTTGTTCAAAGGTATTGAATCTTTACAAAGTCTCAGGAAGTTGTTCTTTTTCTTGACAAGTTAAATATTGCTCACCCAATCCATATTGTGTTCCTGAGTCGCAATTCATTGCTTTTCAAGTCTGTCAAGCTCTTCCTTCCAATCATTCCTGAGACTAATGGGCACTCTTCTTGCTGGATGAAAGTTCTAAAAGTTCATTGGCTTTCGAATCTAAACCAATTTTTGAACACTTAATGTATCAGGATTTTCGTGAATGAATTTTTCTTTAAACTGGTATATCTAAAGCTGGAAGCCAATCAATCTCTCAACATATTTTCATGAGTGACATTCCCCTTATATCTACAAATGTTGTGGGATTTTTTTACTCTAAGAAAATCAGACTTAAATGATTCGCCCTCTAGTTGGTTACAATAATGAAATATGAAAGGTTCCTTTCAGATATCAAATATTCTTTAATTAATTTCAGAACATTCTCAGTAGTGTTTTTTTCTTCAACTTTCAAGTGAAAATTTGAGTTTTTTTTAGCTCCTCTCACTGTAAAACATTAATTTTCCTGGCTTATGGATCATCTGACCACATGTCGTCTGGTCACCTGAAGCACTACAATAAGTGGACCAATTTTTTTTTAACTTGAAAGTTTTCGTATATGTCAACTGTTTCAACATCCACTGGCTATGGCCAAGGTATATTCCAAGTAATAAGCATGTTGTTACCTCCAGTGACATTCCCTTGTGTCACCAATATCTGGACTGCCTGCATAGCTGACATTTGAAGTTCTATTCGCTCCTTTCAACTCAATCAATTGTAGACATGCATTATTGTTAAATGTAACCTTCATATAGTCCTTATGCATCTTTGTGTCAGCATAGTTTGGGAAATAATAAAATTTTGAATTGCTTTCTGGATTTGATCTAATATTGCTTTGTGTATTTCACTTGCTCTCATTCTAATATAAATTTTATCTGATTTTTTTCAAAATTTAACTTTACAAAGGTGTCCAAATTATTAGATGTAGTTATTGGATAAGACAAAATTGTATTTGTAACCATAGATCTTGACAACAAACTGTGTGTACAGGTATTGAATGTTTTAAAAAACACAATCTTATTCATAATTAACATGTTTGTTGAGTTGTGTTGAAAATAAAATTTTAATCTATTCTTTCAATTTCATATTATTTTTACAAAACGCAAACAAGTTGTTTTACAGGCTAAATTGTAAAGCCTTCTTCTCTCCTGTATTTTTAACTATAGATTGAATATTTTCCATGGGATTCATGTTAGGGCTATTAAACCCATTAAAGCACAGACTGATCAATGTCTTATATTTTGCAATTTTCTTTCCTATTGTTGCATGAAGTGCAATCATCCATGAATATGAATCACTTATTTGTTGAGTGGATCATTAGTTCTATACGATCTGTAGGTGTTGATCTCACATCATTAACTGGTGTATACATTTCCAGTAACATTAACAGGCATTACACTTCAAACTATTACCTTTTTCAGGTTCTTCCCGGATCACATTGCAATCTGTTAAGTAAAGAAAAAAATATGTACTATAATAATTTGACCACCTCTGTAATTGGTTTTTCAGAGACGTGCATAGAGCTTTACTCCCAACTCTTTGTTATAGTGGATACATACTGATATAATACACTTTGTACTCTCATTACAATCCAGGCTGCTTTATTCCATGTGTTCTCCGTACTTACCTTCTGCTTTAACTTGATGACATCCCTTTCCATTTCCCTTTCTGTTACCCTTGTTAATAATGTGAAACTACTTTCGAACTTTTCATTGTACATTTATTGAAAAAGTATTCACACTCTTTTTTGAAAAACACACTTAAATATTCTTTTTCCAATAAGGTCAAATAATAACAACTTTTTCAAGTTTTAATACATTTTTTAAATAACAATGACCTTAAACTTTTCAACCCTAATTGGAGGCTTTTCAAAAATCAATAAATAGTGAAAGGTGATACAATGAAGTGTAATAAAACAAATTGTGACATAGCTTGAGTTTCAGGGTAATAATAAAGATTCAATAAAAAATTTAAAACTTGGATTATTTTATATAAAAATTGTCTTTGTTATAAAAACAATAGCTCTGTAGATACAAACATAGTATGAAGAAAATATTGCAATGCTGTGGGAAGAAATATCAATATTTCAACAGAAAAACTCTTATTGCTAGGTCCTGGAAATGAAAAAGAGGATAAATCATTTTTCTACATGTAGTAAATTACTGTCTCTACCATGCTGTGTATTTACAATCCATGTTTTATGATTCTTAAATACTGAAAAGTCAATTGAAAGATTGGAAGAGGTGGCTCAGGGCGTCAGTTGATTTCAGAGCAGTGCCTGTGATCTTGGCTCTTGGTTCAAGTCGCAATGGTACATGATCGTGACAACACGGGTGTCAGGATTCAGTTGAAGGGCATGGTTGAATGGGGTAATCAGCTGTTCATAAAAGCCTTAAGGGAAAAAAATTATCTATCAATTACATATCAAATGCATCATTGATGCCTTAAAAAAACAAAAAATTGATTGTCGGAATATCGGCCAAAAGTACAGATGGACGGACATATGGAATAACCCACCAACAGAAATACAGATTGACTGACCACCCAACAGAAAGACGGACAGACAGGCCAACAAATGGATGGACAAATCGATCATATCACAGACAACATAATGGGCTCGAGTGTGACTCTCTTTTTCTTCTCCAAAAGTTGGTCTCATTTAACTATATCAGAACATTTCACAGAGCACGCAATCCCATTAGAGTGAGGAAATTGAGGGGGATTTTATGTTCCGAGCCCCTGTGAGTTCTTTCACATGCCACAAGTGTTGGATTTGTTGTGTCCACAGTTGTGGACCTTCGAAGGTCCACATGCCCCTCCGGGTCAAGCATTCACCCTGGGGGTTCAGAGGCTAGGAAGCTACCCACTCGCCCACCACTATAGCTCTGCTGATTTTTGCCTTTTAAAAGCTTTTTCTCTTTTCAGGAACATGGTATACCCATTGATTCTGGTTATTCCATTGCACCACATCATTCTGGAGTGTATCCTGTGCATGAGTTATTGTATGAAGCCTGGAAAAGGGTTTGGAATATTAGAGTGACTGCTACTGAAGAATATCCTCATTTGCGACCTGCAAGGTTGCGGAGAGGTTTCATTCACCGAAATATTATGGTAAGGCCATTATGTGCATGGTAATGCAAATAAATTCATATATATGTATTCCTCCATTCCTTGTGTCATCACAAATAATCTTTTTATGCAATGTATATGCTTATTGGTATAAAAATTAAATTTTTTAATTACAAAAAAACACTTGCAAAACAGAAAGAAACAAAAGAAAAAATCAATTAGTAATAATTCATAGACATAGAAACCCCAGTAGTTATTCCCCATATTTACTTAATAACTTGCAGAGAACTAAAATAATTCAACTTGCCTAATTATTAGGAGCAATCCTAATATCTGTGATGACTTCTATTGCATCTTTACATCTTACTACATAGAAACAGAAGAAATATAGAATTTATTAGTGAACTCTTACAGTCTTACAGTAAATGTAAAAAGCGAGAGATTAAAAAATTAAACCAGTGGGAATACATGGCCTGCCGATACTTTTCCTCTTCTAGTGTTACTGCTCAGTGTTTACTCATATTTAAACAGGGTGGCTACTTTCTGAAAAACTGGGAAAAGCCAGGGAATTTTATTCATCAAGAAAAGTCAGGGAAAAATCAGAGAATCTTGTTGGAAGTAACGAATTTTTAATTTTTATTTTTTCATTTCTCTTAATAGAGGTAATTATGGCCCAATCCGTAAAAGTTTAAATTACTTCCAGGTTTGCCACTATTTGATTTGAATTTGATGACTGAGACAGTCTTCACTCTTTTCATCCCCTGTCAACCTTCTCAGAAACTTTCTGTCGAAATCGCCAGAGTTCGCAAGCTCTAATCTTTGTTCAACCTTAGAATTATTCAGATGAAAACAAAGAAGCATAGTACGGTAATGAGGGTCTCTTTGTTTTTTCAATATAAATCAGTACTAATTACTCCTGTGAACATGTTATAACTGCAGTTATATCTTACATTAGTTATTAATAGGGAGAAGATTTTTATGCCCTAGAAAATCTAGAAGTATGCTTTTCAAAAATATGTGTGACCTAAAATTCTAAAATATGAATTTTTATATGCAATTAAAATTAAAAATATTTCATTCCCTGCATAAATCTTTCTTGATAAAGTTCAGGAGATGCGTGTTTGTAGTGAAAATATATATTTTTTTGCAAACATATAATTTACCTTACTTTGCAGGAGAAATAATTAAAGTAAATATTCACCTTAGTAAAATATTCAAATATTGTATGTCTTGTTGCCTGGTTTTCGGTTAAAAAAAAAATTATATCAAGAAATTTCCTAAATTTGCACAAGTATTTTATCACCTACAAATAAGAAAAAAAATGCTGTGACAAGCTCTTTCTAATTGACGATCGCTCACAAATAAATAGATCGTATGAAGAGTTGAAATCTTGTATACATAATACTTTTAAGAAATATGTAAAATATGCACCTATAATTACACTAATATGCACCAACAGGAAAATCGGCCAAATATGCACAATCATATTAATCTACATAGCATCCAATTCTAACCAGATGTCAAGAAATATCACTTAGCTATACCCTGAAGCAACAGGCAGAAATATGCAACATCATAGAAATCTGCTCCCTAGTTATTAAGCTTGTATTTTCATAACAAAAATTAAGAAAAATATCTCAAATATCGAATTTCCAAAAACTTGCATGTGACCTCCATTACTCCCACATGCCGATAATGGGAGTCATGATGTAGGTAATGTGAGTCACTAAAGAAATATGAAGCAAAATGAACATATTGGTAATTTATGAACACTATTTTGCACCTATTCTGTACCATACTAAATGGGATACCATGGACATGGGCAGCTCTGCGGACCATGCACCTTCAATGATTGCTTTTAATTGCTGTAGCCATTGGTGCTGATGATCACTCCCTTTCATTAGTAGTTCGTTTGCAATTTCTGGGCATTTGCCAACAAGGAAACTCATTCAGATCAATAATGATCACTTTTTCGCTACCGCATACGCAGTAGAGTAAAAATTATGCTGCGCCAAAAATTTCGAATTTTCGCAGGGAAAAATCTTGCCGGACACTAATAACGAAAAAGTGAATAAATCCAGTTGCTAAATTTATAAAAATTGCGTCCGCCTGTCGGTCCGTCTGTTTTCTGTGAAAAGAGCTTCAAATTTCGCATTAAAAGAAACCCTTAAATGCCAGTTTCTTGAAAACGATTCTAAATTTTTCAGTGGGAAGGTTCACAGAGGACGAGGTTTTGCTCTTCTTTATTATTCTTAAAGTAATAAGTCGATTCTATTACTAAGAAAACGAAAAATTAAGAGCATTTTTTTAAAATGTACTTTGAGCGGCGATAGATGGCAGCTGGCAATAGAATATGGCAAATCCAAGTAGGAGCTCCTACAAAATCATAGACTGTTTTAAAATTTCTCTCAATTGCTGCAAAACAATTTTCTGATGATCTTCCCTGTCAACAAATTTGAATTCTGGCAGAAATCTCAAAGTTCACGTGTGTAAGATCTTATTTTCCAAAAGTCCTTTCTATTACCAACCACTCACTTTTTTGGTATGAACATCGCGTTCATGGATGTAAGCTTTCTATGTTTGTGGTGATAAACTGGCTCTACGAGTGAGTGAGCTCGTAGTGATCATGAAAAATGGTAGGTTGGAGCATATGTTTCTGCCTTTTAATATGGTTTGTTTACAAGATTTATCGATAATTTGCCGCTGACTCTTATTACTCCGTGACCTCCATTGCCCCCGCTTCCCCTATTCATCCGCGACTACTAACCTCATTGGCTGATTGCTCCAGGTTCCTCCTTAATGTTCCACTTGCGCATGAACTGTCAAAAGCGTACGCGGCACCAGCAGTCCCGCCTGTGATAAGAATAAAGCTCTCGTGTAACATCGTGTCAATGTGCTGCTGCACAGCACGTCGGAAAGCTGGCGAGGCGGCGGGGGCAGTCCATGGCGGCAGGCGGATGGCCACGAAGCTCCAAAGCCTCCGAGGGGTCGGGGCGGGCGTGTCTCGGAACGCGGGTGTCAACTGGCGCAGAGGGAGATGAAGGGTGAAGGGGACCTGTGGGCAGCTGGGCGCCAAATTGCAACCACGTCCAGGGTTTGGTAATGAGATGACCGTGTCGGCGTGGGAGGTCTGTTCCGTGATCCTTCGCGTGGAGGCTGGAGAGAAAACAGCCGGAGGCATTCGAGGTTGAACGGAATCGCAGCGCAGAAGGCACTTTTCAGTCGCCAGGGGTATCGCTAGCTTCGGCTGCGAAGTGTGGCTTTTCGCCACAGGTCAAGAGGCCAGGAGAGGCGCTAAGGTTAGCCGCTGGGGACTGCGTCAGGCTGAGGCGGGTATGCCTCAAGGATGTGCAGTGCTGGGAGAGCAGCGCTAGTTCCTCAGGAGTGTAATTATTGTATAGAAACATAGCAACTCCGTGTCTGTGTTTCACTCGCACCCCGACGACGTCACACCAGCAATAACACGCGCATCCCGTTTCACGATAGTCACTCCTACTCTTCTGAGAGCGGTTCAACACTCAAATCGTTACTTTCCTTTGTGTGACAAGTTTTCTGTAAACATTCTTTTCACTAAAAGGTACCCGTGGACCATAATGCGCGTTCTGTTTAATAATAGCCAATGCACGATTTGTTTCAACCTCACAAGTAAACACACTTAAAACTATAGTTTTTTCAACTTGTATTAACGGGTTACCTTAGCATTACCAAAGTTCAAATTAGCTCTTTTTTCTAATTGCGTGAAGTAATTATACAAATGTATGAAATGAAGAGAGAAGGAAACATTAAGAAAAAAATGAAACGCAAACTTATGGATACCAAATGTAGTTTAATCTTTTTGTAATATATTTTTTAAAGAATCAAATACCAATCAATAATAATTACATATTTTTTTTCTTTTTTTGTAGTCTTCGAGAATTATTTTTCATTTGCCCTCACAGTTTTGACTCACAAAAATTGCTGGAAATTCTCAAGACAACTCCATTTACTTTTAGTGGAAGAGTCTCATTAATTGTATGGTGCAAATTTTGATTGTCATTTCTTTCTCATTTTTCTTCTGCTTTCTCTCTCTCTCTCCTCTCTTTCATTACTACTGATGATGAATATTTAGGACAATTCGGTAATATTGATGACACTGCATCCTCTTTAAATTTCGTTCTTCCTAGTAAAGATTTGGAGTTTTTTTCCATTCTCGTCATACCACTCAAGAGCTCGTTGAATGTCATCTGGACGAAAATGAGCTTCAAAACCTACAAAAATTGAATGAACATTTGAAAACTATGACGATAGCAAACACATTTTATTTAAGAATTCATATTGCATTTTTATTGATCTTAACGAAATTAAAAACTTCCGTTAATAATCCTTGATTGTTCCTATTTTCCTTGCAATCTCGTTTTTAGCGTATGTTGAATCTGTGGTAGTAAAATAATCAAGCATAACCTCGTAACATTCGATCGGGCTGAGAATTAATCCTAAGTTATCTCTTCTATAATGAAAACAACAACAACAACAACAACAACAAAAAGCTGTTAAAACTAAACGTGACATTGGGGAAAAAAACTTCATTAACTATCGTGGCGCAAAACAATAGACCATCTCAGCATTTGTTCAATAAATCAAGAGAAACTGGACGAAGGTGTTTCGAATTCATACTAAAATCTAAAACCTCTCTTAAACCAATTCCAATTATCATAGTGTTGCTCTGCAATCAATAACGAACGTTTGGCGCTCTTACATGTGACCGCTTTGAAAGGTTATCAAGATAAGGGTGTACGCATAGAGGAGAGATATCTCTACTCTATGGGTGTACCTCCCTGTAATTTCTGTTTAGCGGTGGCCATTTTAATAAATTTAGTGACCCAAGATGCACGCGGTTCAATTTAAAAAATGTCAAGTTATATCGTGGCTTTTTATATATAATTTCTGACTGCCTTGCGATTGCAATGTTAAGCTTGAGAACCTGGATTTTTTTCCCTTCTTCCCTTATTACTTATGGTTTGAGGATATGCTGCCAAAAAATATTTTTCGCATATGATGTTCCCAATAGCAATAAAAAGTTAAAAACCTACCGGATGGCTATGAAATCACATCTTTATTTGTTGCTTGTAGAACATCTGGCTGTGCAATTCGGTAGTTGTTACGGTGCGCATTTCGGTTTCGCAGTTTAGTGAGAGGGTTGAAAGGGAGGGGAAACGCTCGTGCACGTTTGTGCTGGAAGTCGGCGCCGTACGCGATTTTAAGTGATTGTTGATGTTGGAAGACCGGTGGTTGGAGCGAATTAGGGATTTGGGAAATTTGTAGAATACATGAGACCAGAAGGGGTTCTCTAAATTGATTTCGATCGACAGCTCTCTTGATCTCGTGGGCGCTGGCCAATCTGTCGACATCTGGATGTTTTTTTTTTAGAGGAATACTCCATTGTACACAGTCAACTTCGCACAGCCCTAAAAAAGTGTCAACGAGAATGTTTCTGGGAACAATTCTACGTAGAAAACAAAAAACATTCTAAAATGAAAGGAAAACAATTAGCTTTACATGTTGTATTTACGAAATGTACTTTTTATTCATTATCAATGAGAGATTTTAGTGCCGTCCCGTCATCTTTGATGGGTTGATCTTAATTCAATAATAAAACGGAGCTATTTATCCTCTTTAGCTAAATAGCTTAGAAAGGAACAGTAGCCACAAGGCCGATGCCGGTCGAGCATTTAGAGCAGTAGTGCTTGCACGGATACTTACATCCACCCACTAGCAACTTCATAATATTCCTTTCCTAAGCATTCTTACTTTCACGCCACACTACGTATTTACGTGGTAAAGGGAAAGTGATGAAATTAGAATGCACATTTTATTAGTCCTTGATACCGAAAAATCGGTTACACCAAAACGTGTTTGTCCGACTGAGATGAACGCTAGCACCTAAACTCTTCAGACGATCTTCTCCAAAATTGAGATCTTATCGATCTCAATACATTTTAGGACCCGTGAATCTGACATTGATATTTTAATTTTTGACGGTACCTCACATGTACCCGTTTCGCTCTCGCGAAACTCGAGACCCTTTAAATGTGGATATTTTTATTTTGGAGGAGGAGTATTTTACATAAAACTTTAACATTTTCAAAAGTTTCAGAAAAATGGCTTCAATGTGTTTGATTAAAACTTTTTCTCGGATAGAGTGAAAGAAATCATTTCGAAATCAACGAAAATTATTCATTTTCTAAACAATATCTATATCGCTCCAATTTTTTTCATTAATTTGTTTCTTGAGATGTAACAAGGGCAGTACAATATATTGTGCTACAGTGTCATTTTCCGCAAACTCTCCGTATTTTGGAAAATTTCAAAAGGTTAACATGTGAAAGTTACATGTCGGAGTTTGAAACTCACTGCGTTGAAGTAGCGTAGATTAAGACTGACGGTGAGTAAACTCAAACGACCGGCGTTTAAGCCTCGGCGCGAAAAAAATTGATCCTGGTTGAAAACACTCGTAGTAGTATAATATAGCCAAACAGTTAAAAATAATGCGAGAAGTTATGAGCTGTTTCAGTACCTCTAGTTTTAGTGTGCGCGTGCGCGTGCGCGTGCGCGTGCGCGCGCGTGCGCGTGCGCGTGCGCGCGCGCGCGCGCGTGTGTGTGTGTGTGTGTGTGTTTGAGCATTGGCATTTTAGATTTATGCTGTCAGTTACAGGGCCTAAATATTGTATGTTGTATTATGCTATTTTCTGTTTCAGGTATTGCCACGACAGACTTGTGGATTGTTCACTCATACAATAATGATAGAGCGCTACCCAGGAGGTCGTGAGAAACTAGATGAAGCTATACAAGGAGGAGAACTTTTTCAGACAATAGTTTACAATCCAGTAAGTAACATGCATAATAAATTCCATAGTAATGAACTTCACTATGTTCACTAATAAAATTCACTTTCCACTATGAACATCAGTTCTTCCAAATTACGAAGCAGTCTAAATCCTGACTGACAGTTCTGCCCGAGGACACCATAACATTGTGATTCAAGCATCTTCAAATTTGTAAAAGCCAAAGATATTGACTGTCATTTTTGTACCCTCACTGCAAGCTAGGAGCGTGTACATTAGCATTTTATGTCTGAACCCCAGCCGCATCAATTCTCTTTTAACAGATAGGACAATAGAAAAAGTCCCCTTCCATTTTGGGCAATTTCCTTATTCTCTCTCACTTAGTCCCAATCAAGTCTTCTATTCACTCTCACTCACAGTACAATGTCTCCGATGTGTCTGTCATATTACCTCTTGAAGCAATTTCTTTGTGTTACTAGCACTTCCGTGCATGCAATATATAACATCATTTTTGTAAGGGATGCATTTAAGGAATGGCCTTGTCGTAAATAAGAACTTTTTAAACCTATAGCTTTAAAAGGGATATTTTACAATAAAATCTTGCATGGAACTTTTTTGTAGTATTTTTGGTCTACTTTAATTTTACAAAAAGCATAATTTTCGACAGAATTTATAGTTATGAAGATATTTACAACAAAAAAACCAACAACAAAAAAACACCATTAATCGGCCCCCTATCCTGAGCTCACCCCACACACTTCGAAATTTTTAGTATAATGTGCGGTATGTACCAGTAGTCATGTCAAGTTTCAAAACTCCGGGATTTTTTTCACTCGATTTGTCTAATTTGATTCGTCTATAATGTGCGTAGATGGTCTCCCACTCGCATTGTTTGAAGCACTGGCAATGAAGCTGGTTTGAAGCCCACTGCTACGGTTTTCGCCCTCCCTCCCCTTTGCTCACACAGCTTCTCTGAGCACCTTCAGACGGACGAAGAGGCTGGTCTGACGTCATTCCTCTCGTCCTCCTCCTAAAACAAACAAAAAACACGTTGGTCTAGACTAGGGATCTTCAACCTGGGATGCGCGGCACCCTAGGGTTCCCTGGAGCGGTACCAGGGGCTCCACAAGGGATCATTATTTGCTCAACCAAAACACTAAAATGGAAATTTATACAAGGAATGTTTTAAGTAGGAACGGGGTACGAACAAAAATAAGTATTTTTTTACTTTCCCGTATACAAACGTATATATGGAGTAATATACGTAGTATAGGAAAAGTTATGTAATGCTGCGCGAAACCACCGGCGGATTTTCGGCAGAAAAAAATCATTGCCGGGCCCATAATGAAATGTGAATAAATCCAGTTGCTAAATTAAGAAAAAAAAACCTCACACACGTAGTGTAGCCAGAATCCCTGTTTTGCAAGTCCTTGTAGATATCGAAAAATCAATTGACGGCCAAACCTGTGGCTGTCCATTTTCGAAAAGTACCAGTGCCTAAACCATACGTACGATCTATTCCAAAATGAAGAAACCCCTGTCCATTTCGCTCGAGTTTAAGCTTTGAGATTTTGAAAAACATTCTTTAAAATTCGGGGGCACTTTACATGAAGCCTTCCGGACATTTTCAAAATTTTCTCAAAAAACAGCTTTAATTTTTTGCTTTAAATTTCGTGTAAGAATAGAGTAACACACTTATAAAAAGTGGCATAGGTCCGATTTTCACGGCTAACTTTTTAATTTTCGAAAATTTCAAAAGCATGATTTTTTTTCTGGTGTTTTTCTACAACTTCAAAATTGATGATTGAGATTTTTCCTTCAAATAAAATTTGTTATCCATAGTGAGTGCTGTCATTAAAGTCTTATACATTTTTTTGAAACTTTTAGTAGTTTTCGCGCAATAGTGCGTGCAGAATGTGCAATTTCAAAATTTTTTAAAAGCCTTTTCTCAAAAACAGCTGCAGTTTTTTTCTTTAAACCTTTGGTAAGGAGTGTGCTAAATGTACGCTATGACATGACATAAACTCCATATTGGTCTATTCTTTTGTTTTTTCAAAAAAGACTAAAAATTAATTTTTGACTTTTGTCTTACGTCGTTAATATTTATATTTGCCGAGATTTGTTCACATTATTATATTTATCAATACATTTGTTTTAAATAATGTCATATAAAGTTTCTCGAAAACTCAACCATTTTTTGTGAAAACTAGCTCAAAATTCTGCATTTTCAGAAACTCTCAAACACTATTTTCTAAAAAACTGCTGCAAATTTTGTCCAAGTAGTACCAAGTAGTCCTAGTTGCACTGTTTAATATGACTTAAATTTCATTTTGGGGTATTTTATTTTCTAAAATTATACAAATGTATATTTTGAAAGATCTCTCACGCTGTTATTATTCACCTTTCCACCAATTTCTAAACGCTATTGTATTTGTGAGTTAATGTGCATTAAGTGACAACTAATAAAGTTTTTCGAAAACTTAAGAATTTTCTGTGAAAACGAACTTCAAATTTCGAATTTACAGTAGGAGCACAAACGCCGTTTTCATAAAAACGGCTCCAAATTGTTGAAAGAAAATTGGAATTGTACGAATAATAAGGAAATCTCACCCATGTGATCCTTGTGAGACTTCTCTTATTAAGCTACCATTTATTCCCGAGCCGCTTTGATGTTACGAACCAGTAGCTTTTGTACAATATTATTTACTCAAGGGCGGGAACGTATTTTCAGCCAATAAAGATATCTATAACTAGTAGCTGAACCTGTCCGAAAATTTCGCATATTTGTGCGCGAAAAGGATTCTGAAATACAATAATTTTTAAGCTTATATTCAATTCTTAAATGATAATTTAAAATTTAAGTGAATTGTGAGTATGATCAACGTGAACACAGTAACCGATGTGTAGCCAGAATTAGTTTTGTTGGTTCTTGATACGGAAAAATCGATTGATGCCAAAACGTCTGCTTGTCCATCTGTGGCCAACTCTAGCGGGTTGCCGTTCAGCCGATTTTCTCCAAAATTGACATTTCCCTATCGATCTCGCTGATGTCGCGGCCCCTGAAATTTGAAACCGATATTTTAATTTTTGGGTGTACTTTAGATAAAGCCCCTCGGTCGTTAAAAAAACTCAATTTTCTTATCACATTTTGTTGTCCAATAGTGCCAAAGAAGAAGAAACGAGTAGTTTTTGCGTAATGTGGGCTTGACATGGCATAATGTGGGGGATTTGCAACAAGAAGGCTGAGAAACCACTTCTAATTTTTTCTTTAAATTTTCTCCACTTGTGTAATAAAGGACGGTAAATAGACAGATAGTGCCCATTTTAGAGTATTGCTTATTTTTGTGAAAATTGCAAAAACATTTCAAAACTACAAATTTAGAGATATTTTTGTATCAGACAAAATGTACAAAAATTAGTTAGTGATACTACAGAATGGCACAGACTTTCTCGCCCTGGTTAGTTTTCAATTTTTCTTCTCTTGATCAGCTTTTCCGTTAGGTGTCATTCTTCTCGTCTGTTTTCTTTCGTCGCCCGAAAAACAAACACTTTTCACATTTTCTTAATTACTGGGCTCCGTAATGCTAGAACACAAACCACCATTACTATTATAGAAGAATTCATCTCATGACCTAAGGGGATGGCCGAGGTGGCTAAATTGGTGGGTACAGCCCAACTCTTCAGAGGTAAGGTTGTCTGGATCGAGACATCGCAGGTGATTATTATTTGTGACAATTCTGTGTTGCCGCAGAAATAATTGATAACTCCAGAAAAATCATTGAAAATCATTGGAAGCAATTCTAATCGCAAATATTAATAATCAAGATAAATAAACTGGAAGTGTCTGTATGTGATTTTCGAATTTTCAAGTTTTAAACAATTTTTCATATTTCTAAAGGGATTTGTAAAACGTATGTCTCGTCAAATCAATTGTTGTCTTTCGGCGCTTATGGGTTTTATAGAAGTGCCAATTCTCTGTATAACCCGGGTGGTAGGTGGTTAAAATGTCGGGTTCCGACTCAGCGATTCGGAGGGAAGGGTCACTGGTTTGAGCCTGCCTCGGGAGTAATTGTTTGTTACAGCTCTGTGTTGCTGCAGGAAACTATTGAGAATTTGAGACACTATATTGAAGGTTATTTGAAGCAATTCTACTCACATGTACATTCTATTAAGATTCTAAGTAAACTGGAAGTGTCTGTATGTCATTTTCGTATTTTGAAATTTTAAACAAGTTGACAGCTCTCTTGTTCAATATAATTTTCAAATCAATA